TAATTTTCGCACAGGGCAAGCGGAGCAAAAGCTAAATTAATCAGCTTGGATATCGATATTTTTGTTTCGAACTTGGAAAATGTTTAATACTGGCACAGACTCGCGCGTATACAGACTTACAGAGAAACAGGTAGCGACAGCGGCTCGTTTTAATGAAGATTAATGAAAGCTAATTGTATATACGCTCGCGTGGCCTCACTTAAAACATCGGAGCAAGGAACTTTCTTCGTTACGCTCAAGCGCGGTAGCATCGAATTGGCGGGTCGATAATGCCAGAATTATCGGACAAGACACGCTAATTGACGCGCACGCAACAACAACTTGCCTGCGCAATGGCTTCATTACACGACTGCAGCGGTGGGCGTCGCGCATATGACATGTTCATTTTCTCGTGCGCGCGACATTTGCCAAAACAGCATCGTGGGAAAATTCTTGCCTATTTGAAGTCGCGCGCGCACAGAAATGGATGTTTTCGCGATTTGTTTGCATACGCGCCCAGTTGACTTTTTTTCAAGCTCGTAGTTGAAATACCAAAAGAAACGAGTCGTTGATGGACGAGTAGTTCCTCTCTGCGCAGTCGCTTATTTATACATTTCTATGGAAAAAGATAACGAGCTCGAGCGCAGCCAAGTCTGTTTATGCACGCGCGAATATCGAGCTTGCGAAAAGCTCCTACAGTCTGAATACATGCCACGCTGCATTTGATTTAGCATCTCCGCCGGCTCGCGCATATATCACAGAAGAAGCTGCTCGCACGAGAAATTCGAAGAATATCGTTTTCCATTAGAGCTTGGGCAAAATTTCTCGAAAAAGCTTGGACGATCTCTGATCCCCTCTCTCAAGTAGAAAAAGTTGCGTGAATAAAAAATTGATAACGCCTGCGTTTCCCACTATGATTTATGGCGCAATTTAGTAAAAATTCAGCCTGTGTTTGGGGGTTTAATATGTTGCGCTGAAAAACAAAGCTTATGCGATCGCGCTCGGGTCGATATCGTATGTAAAAAGTATTCAACCGAGCTAGTCATTCGCTCCAACGAACACTCGTGACCGGACAATCGCATTCCGCAAGATCAAGCAAAGTCTATCTGAGTATGAGTGATTTTTAGTTGCTGCTGGATCGATCATAAATTTATATGTGCACGATTACTGCGGGCCAAGGGTTAAAAGTCAAAATACGTAAAAATATCGCCCTCGAACTATACGCGTGGAAAGAAAGTGCGAGCGAATTTATGCAAGCATAGAAGAAAATTAACCAGAATATTAATGTCTCATTTGATTATCGATTAGCAAATCATGCGTGCACAGCGGCAAACTCACTGACCAGAAATTTAATAGTTGAAATGACCGTCGTGCGTATATACAGCGCACACACACACGAGCCATGTCAAACGTTTGTGAATTAAATGCCTATGTACACATGTGCAGAGAGAAAGAGAGAGAGAGAGAGAGAGAGATAAATAACCTCACTGATAAATTAGCATATTATTGTACGCGTACTTACAACAGCTACAGTTAAATAAGCGTCTAAGAGAGAGAAAAATGGCAACAACAGCAAAGTTTAATCGATCGCGATTAACAAGTGGCACCAAATAGTAGCATGCGCGCCTTGTGTTCTTTTCTGCTAATTACTTGCTCTCTCGTGTATACACGCGTGTACACGGACAAGTTTTCTTACGTCCGAGGGAAAAACATCGACAAGCCCAAAACACTATCTGGTATAAATACGATTGCTGAGAACAGCATGCAAAACAGAACATAGAATGTTTATTCGCAGCGTAGACACACAATAATCAGACTTGGCGTTAAATGTATGAAAAACACGGACTACATTTATAACCGGACGGTCGTTTTATTTTTTTTTTTTTGCTCGAGTTATAATTAAAGATGCGTTAAATTAATGGCAAACCAAAGGTGAGAAAGAACGAGAGAGATCAAGCTATTATAATGATTTTTTGCTTTTTCAAATATCCTCCTTTCGTACTACTATGTAACCATTAGCAAAGTAAATTTTGAAAGTAAGTCCCATGGAAATACAAAGTGGGCCTTGGCTCAAACTCCGTGCTCTTTCAAAGAAACTCTCTGCCAACCTGATCGGCTCTACATAATTTACTAACTATCTCTTATATGCTCGTATACATACTCGCAGACAATTCGCTCGAGTGAAAGCACAACTCGAACCAACTGAAATTTTTCAGTGACTTGTACATAAAAAAGGAGAAAAAAGTTCAACCGAAAAGAACAAAAAGGCACAATCGAATCGATTGTTTTGCAATGTTAGCAGTATACAGACGTGAGGTCGCGTTTCCTCATATTAAATAATCAGTGCAGAGCCGAGCAAAACGTTTTGTTTTTGTTCATCTCACTATAACGTTTCTGTCGCTTGGAAAGATAAAATTTGTTACTTGTACTCGGGTTTGATGCAAAGTAAATTATGCTAATCGAGCTTTTCTGGATAATTCGGGCACCGCGGCGTTGTCTCCCTCTGTATTTTAGCCTGCTCAGAAAAATGCGATTTTAATTGTACATTGCTCGAGTATACGCTTGATTAATGTTACATTTTGCTCCCACAAAAAATTTTACTTTATTGAAAAATCATGCGTGGAATCGATCGCTTATAAATTTGATATCACATGAAAACTTGCTCGATTTTCCTTCCCAAATTCTCACTATACGTAATACAGGAGAAGAGGCAAAAATTGCAAGCTATCAGCATATCAGGAGGAGCAAGTAGATGCTCCCTTATTGCATTATAACACACAAATGCTGATAAATGCAGCATAATATATATCGATCGCCAGTGCCAGGGCTCGCTATCTCTGGGAAATCTGCAATTAAGCTCTGCATCCTATGATCCCAATAAAGCGCGCGGCAACTCAGCACACGAGCAGTGCGCAAATCCGAAGGCGGTAATTCTCGTCTTTTTCTTCCTCTATTGAAAGTTGCAGTTTTGTTATTTTCGCGAGATTTCGAGCCGTTACTCCCGCTGCCTTATACACATCGCTATAATGAAGCGGATAATTTATTCGAGCTATATCACCGAGATTCTTAGGTGCGCGTATTTCCCGCCGTTTCACGTCACCAAGTAGAGAGACGCCACTATTATAAGCAGCCATGACATTGCTTAAACATTATATTACAGGCCAGGCCCGGGTCTGTGTACATGTGCAAGTACATAATAGAGATAAGAAAATAAATGGGCGCGTCTGCTTATATTAAAGCCTGTGACGCGATACGCGCGTCTGAGCGGATTCTTTGCTACGAGATTCAACTTTATCGCGGGCTTGTAAATCGATCCAAAGAAGCACGAGTGCAGCAGCCGCTGAGACTCGGAATCAACTTGTCGAAATTTACTTGATTGGTTTTCGCGGTGCACACACCCATAGAGCCACACATTCATACGCGCGGCAGCGACTTTAGCAGCTCATCGCGAGTGCCGTACGTGTACATTTCTGAAACGCAGAGATAACACTGCAAGCAAACGCGAACGGGATCAAGAATCGCTATAATATATTTCACGTGGCAGAGCCGTTCGCGCGCCACCGAGTTCTGCTATTACATATTCATTAAATGCAGTGACGCAACTGCAATTCAATTTAGTCACTGGCACGGCTACCTCTTCCCTTCGCCCTCCCTTCCTCGTTTCATCCCCTTCGACCTCTTTTGCTTTCTTCCATTGCCGTATCTGTCTTCGCTTTTGAAGGCGATTAATTTAAATGCTATTGCTTACTTTCTCTCGAGCCCTGTCAACGCTGCATACACGCATGAATTTGGATTATTGTTATTTTTCACCTGGAAAAACTTCACGCGCAAAAAACATTAGAAACGCCTCGAGCCATTTCAGCTATAATAACTAAATGTCCATGTCTTATCGAAGAGAAAAAACAGTCACAAAAACAGTTAACAGTTGTTTTTGTTTTCCGTGCAGCAAAAAAACGCACTTATCGCACGAGACACACGTTAAAAGACTACGAGAAAGAGACACACACGCTCGAGTAGATTCAGTGTATTTCTCTAATGAATCGACAATATATAATCTCAATGCTTGTCAATAGCATGTAAAGCGCGACGACGTTGTTGCGAGTCTTGAAATAATAATCGATCTTTAGCACGCGACTGATCGCAAGCGCCTTCATAAATACATAAATAAATACGTCTCTTTTAACGAGCTCATAGAGCGAATTAATGACAGTCTGAGTTTTCTGTTGCGCAGCATAAGCCCAGGCGCCACTATAAAACTGACTCGGGTCGTGCGCACGACGTTTTATACATTTTATATTTTCTTTGAATAGAAGTACGTATCGAAGAAAAAAATCAACAATTTAAGAGACAAACCAGAATGAAGCTAGGCAGCGAACGATAACGGAGAGGCATGAATTCATTATATGCAAATAGTTGAACAACGATAGTAGTAGCTTCTTTTTTTATCGATATTACAGTCAGCGAACAAATAATATCGAAAAAAAGTTTCCTCGCGTTTGAATAGAAGTCAAAAGTATATTGCTCGATAACCGAAGCGAGTTTTTTTTGTAACAATTTTTCATTTTGTTTAGGCCAAGTGTTGCAAGAAAGTATCCTGCGCACCTTGCCTCCGATCAATAACAATTTCGTAACCTTTTTCTCCATTAATCATACATTTTTAAGGAAAATTAACATTATCCTTCGCATGCTTGATACAATAATGACCTTTTTCCATCGCATTGAAGAGTATTTAAATTGTATTTTTTTCTCTCTCTCGTATTTCGATAAAATCGGCATCATTGGCAAACAATCTGTTTACCATTCAAACCAATGACACATTCAAAATCCTCGTCTGTATATTTTTGGAATACTCGGCGTAACTCAATTCTCGCTTTGAAACGCTCCGTAAAGCTGGCGGAAAAAAATGCACACATGGAGATGTGCCTATCGTTGACATACGCGTGCACACAGAAAGATACACAGCTATTATTTTAAAACAAAGTTGGAAATGTATTTACGGATTTTTCTCTGGCTGTTTGCAGGTGACTACTGTACCAGACGAGTCGGCAGTCGAGGAAGGCTTTCGAGTGCCCCGAGCCACTGTAGTCCACATGGCATCGACGACCAATCGACCGCAGCACATGTCCCAGGTGAGTGCCATTGCATGTTAGTGTTTAAATGCGCAGAGCCGTGTGATGTACGCTCCGATGATGGAAAACGACAGAGTCGAGATTTGACACTCGCTCACGATTAGTTACTTTATGCTCTGTTGTGTATCGACTGAATTGAAATGTATTCAATATAGTTTCGTATACAATCCTTTCGACATTTTTACTAAAGCTATGTGGACGAATAAAAATTTATAACAATTCGATCGGATGAACGGTGAATTTTTGTTTCGTCAAATTTGTTACTTACATTCTTTATTTACTGATTGTGTGATTTAAATAGATGTAAGGAAAGATTTAACTGAAATCAATGAAAATCTTGTTATTCAATATGCATGTAGATAATACTCTACATAATTTATACAAACGTAGATAAGCCGATAAATTAGTATTGCACGAGCGATAAGATTTGAAAAACGCGTATGCGCACCGAGGAATAATTTATTCCAAAGTTATAAGACCACCCGAGGCAAAAAAGATGTTCAAAATAAGTAATGATCGGTTAACCGAGTTTGGCAAATGATGTATAATTATAGCAAACGCACGCACACAGCCACAAAGTTGGGAGTTTAGTATTTTTTTGTAGAAAAACGTGTCTTCTCGGTTGTTAACTTGTCTCTTGGGGTCGAATTCTCAGGTTCGTCGTTATTAGATGAGCGGACATTTTGCGATCTATTTTCACGATCAATCACAAGCTTTAAAACCCTCTTTTACCCGCTCAATGAGAATGAATTAATTCCACGTTCTCATTTAGCGTTGATCCGCGAAAAAATTGCAGCAATTTCTAATAGTTTGCACACATCGTTAAGCAATGCCAAACAGTTTTACAACTGCAGAATTGTAGAAAGCACAGTAACTAACCGTTTTACGATTTCGCGAGTCTAGGCATGAAGGCGATATTTTTTAATAACTGAGAATAAATTTGAAATAAATTTTATCGTCATAACGCACATAATGTGCTAAACACACGTTTCGATGATATAAAATTTATTTTACGACCGATCGCGCTATATTCAGAAACATGTATATAAATGCATAGTCGTAAACTGCTTGAGTTTGTATAATTTATTGCAAACAGTTAGTGATTTCTGCCTCTTTCTCGAGCATTTCTGTCTCGGCGTTTTCAACAAAAGTCGCTTTCGCGTTCCGAGCGCATCGGACGAAAGAAAAGAAGTCGCACGCGCGCGCACGAGTTAATCGCACCTTCTCATTAGCAGGGCTGCGCGGTCGCAACTAGCCGAGCCATTGTCGTTGCACCGCGTACAACTAAACGGCAGAGGAGCAAAATCTGTGGACAATGGGATGCTGGTGTTGTCGCGACCGCTGCAGTTGGCTGTCCCAAGTACGGTAGTCGGTGGTATCACACCGCATAGCCGAAAATTAGTATTCGTTTACCGATGCATGCGCGAGAGCCGAAGCTCCGACCACGGCTCGACTTTCAATTTGCGGCTTGTACGCGATAGCCATTTTGGTTTGCGCTCGTCCAAGTCCGGGCTACGCGCGACAAAAATCAGGCGGGCCGCGCAATTTTAACATTCCACTTGCGAGTTGCGATGCAATTTCAAATTTCGATTACAGCCGCCGATAAGATACCTTTTGTGTCTGTATTCAGCACACGCAGTTGAGACAAATATGCGCCTTATCCTCGGAAGCTCGGCAAATTGGGTCATAAATATTTGCATGGCTCCGAGAAAAAAGTAGGAGCCGCGAAGGGAGAATAAACTCGAGTAAAAAGTCGTCGAATTAAAGCGAAAATTAATTAAAGGTCCTGGCGACTCTGGCGTTGTCCATGGGAACGCTATCCTCGGGCTTGGCCAAAGGTTACACCTCACCGGCGCTGGATTCGATCCTGGACAATCATTCGCACTCGTACCAGAACAACAACGGCACGTGGACGACGTTCTCGGTGACGCTGCAAGAGGCCTCGTGGGTGGCGTCGCTGTCGCTGCTGGGCGCCTGGCTGGGCGCCATGGTGGGCGACGGCATAATGCGTCGGGGCCGCAGACTCGCCCTCAGACTGACCTCGCTGCCTCTGGCCGCCGCCTGGGTGCTGACCAGCTGCGCGCCCTGCCTCGAGCTCATCTACGTGACGAGCTTCATCGGCGGCCTCTGCTGCTCCGTCATCACGATGGTCGCGCAGGTCTACATATCGGAGATCTCGGTGCCGAGCATCAGGGGCTGCCTGTCGGCCATGCTCAAAGTCCTGACGCACGTGGGCGTGCTGCTGTCGTACATAGCCGGCTCCTATCTGAATTGGCGTCAGAGCGCCTTGCTGGTGGCCATAGCGCCGAGTATGCTGTTCCTCGGGACGCTATTCATACCCGAGACGCCGTCCTATCTCGTGCTCAATGGCAAGGATGAAGAGGCTGCCTCGAGTCTCCAGTGGCTTCGGGGCTCTCAAGTCGACATCAGGCACGAGCTCCAAGTAAGTATATTGTCGCGCTTATCTACTCCGATACGCTCTTTTCACTCGGCTCTACTCTGCCTCGACGTACTCGCCGCAGCTCAGTACCAAGGACAACGTAATAATGCTTTGTCCTCTCTCTCTCTGCTCGTCCGTCTCTTTTGCAAAAGATTATCCGGTGATTTGGCTCTTCCCTCGCAATCTCCTTGTTGCGCAGCTATGTTTCTCCGTTCATTTACCTCCTTACTTTCTTCTCTCTGCGACGCGATTCGAGCGACGCGTCCTAAATCTTCGAATAACGCATGCTCTCCGTGCGCTTTATTAGATCCGAGCCGCATTTAATCAGAGTACCGTTTTTATTACACATTTTTCTTCTCTCGCAGATTATAAAAACCAACATTCTGGCCTCGAGAGCAAAGCAGTACGATTTATCGTTCAAGAGCAGCGTGATGGCACCGAGACTGTACAAGCCCATCGGCATAACCTGCGGCCTCATGTTCTTCCAGCGATTTTCCGGTGCGAACGCCTTCAACTATTACGCCGTCAACATTCTGCGCCAGTCGTTGCGCGGTATGAATCCGCACGGAGCTTCCATTGCCGCGGGTTTTGTTCAATTATTGGCTGCTCTACTCTCCGGTAAGTAAACTCGTTCAACGCAGTGCGCCTACATTATATACATCACAAGTGTATAAAGCTGTGCAAGGTCGCAGGCGCCTAACAATCAATCGACTAGTGCTTTGCGACATTTAAAAAACACGAGCTTCAAACGAAAAACAATACGCGTCACAATAGGGGGGGGCTCGTTAAACGTAGCTATAATCACGAGCGAAGGACGCGCGCCAATAAATATAAAAACGCAACCGAAGCAACGGTTACGCTGCGAAAATAGTAAACATCTTGTGCTCTTGGATAAAAGACTTGGACTGCTCGCCTCGGCGTCGATAGCACGTGCGCCGAGCCATAGCCAGTCAATAGGCGATAGATTAATCGAGCGCACGGATCACTAACTGTCCGTTTGTTCTTGTCGCAGGTTTTCTCATCGACATAGTCGGACGTTTGCCACTGCTGGTCGCAAGCACGGTCTTCATGTCTCTTGCCTTGGCCGGTTTCGGCAGCTACGCCTACTACAACTCGATGACGCAGCCTCACACGATACCGGTCGTCCCGCTGGGCACGTACGCGACCGCCGCCGAGGCCGCGGCCGCGACCAACTTCAGCGGCCAGCACGACTGGATACCACTCACCTGCGTCCTGGTGTTCACGACGGCTCTGGCACTCGGTATATCGCCGATATCCTGGCTGCTCATAGGCGAACTCTTCCCTCTGGAATATCGCAGCTTGGGTTCCAGCATCAGCGTGAGCTTCAGCTACTTTTGTGCTTTCGTCGCCATCAAGTCTTACATGGACTTTCAACAGGTAACTGCTCGTGTAAAAACATATAAAGCGTCATAACGAAGTGTGTGCGTTTCTTTGCAGGCGCTCGGCTTACACGGGGCATTCTGGTTCTACGCCGTCGTATCGATGTGCGGCCTGGGCTTCGTCGTCTGCTGCGTGCCCGAGACCAAGGGTAAACAGCTGGACGAAATGAATCCCGACTACGCCAACGCCCGGTAGTATAAGGCTTCCCTCACAGGAGGGCTCTCGAATCTCGAAAAGACTAACAAACCCCTGCCAGCCGGTGCTTATCCGGTGCAGCACGATCCGCGCGACCTCTACTTGCCGACGAACGCGATGCCCCGTCCGCCGACCTATCCGGGCGGCGCCGAGGTCGTCGTTCTGCCGAGCGCCAACGCCACGGTCAGGCCGACGACCCTCGACTGCGCGGCCATCTCGAGCTGCTGCCTCCACCCGCGAACGGGCACTGCTCGGCTCAGCGACCTCTGTCGCGCCTTCGTCGAGAAGACCAGCTGCATATCGCGAAGAATTCGCACTAGATTAGCTACTTGGCGCACTGCCGTGCCGCAGACCTGCCCCTACGACTGCCCGGTACGCCAGAGAGCCATGCAACAGCAGCAGCAGCAGGCTGCTTATTACAGGCAGCATTTGCAGCAGCAGCAGCAGCAGCAGCAGCAGCAACATTACGTTCAGCCGCTCACGAGCCGACAACAGAGGGATATGCTTCGATCTTACGGTATGAATTACGAGCAAAGCGAGCGCTACGAGGAACTGGCGAGTCGTAGACCCACGACCAACTCCTACAGCCGGGACATAATTCGCAGCCTCGAGGAGCTCGAGCTCAGTCGGATCCCACCTCTGCATCATCAGTCCTATCAGCACATAAGGCCCGAAGCGGCCTGCTATCCTCCGTACAATACGCAATTCTCGAGCTCGTGGTGCAGCGAGCGACCCTACGCCACGCTGCCGAGCAAACGCGATGCTCGCCGTGCCAGCAACATCGAGGATCGCTTCCTGCCCAAGGACTTGCAGAGGCTCAGCCGCTACCCCAAGAGCTTGCAGGACCTCAAGTACCTGGAAATCGAGGCTATTCTAGAGAGAGATCCTCTGCCCACTTGGACGACTCACAGGTCCAGGAGCCGTCGTCAGGCTCACCACAGCGCGCTCGACGTCAGGCAACCCAGGAGTTTGAGCACGGGCTCGAGACCGGTCTCCTCTCTGCTCGACCGGCAAAACAGTTGGCTCGTTCAGGCCAACGACAGTCGGGGGGATTTCGTCGCCGCGGGACCGAGTCAGATCGATCGATTGGAGCCCGGCAAGGTGCACTACGAAAGGGAGTACAGGATTTATGGCAAGGATACGGTCGCGCTCATATTTTACAAGACCTGCTACCTGTGATTATACTTCCTTGCGATTCACGAACTCTGTTTCCGCCGGTCTGCACCATCATCCGTGCGATTCTTGTTTAGTTCTTTTCTTTTTTCAAACGCGCCTTTTTCCTATTTTTTTTTTTACACTTTCGTTTGGTGTTGTTCGAGTATTTTTTCTCAATCATCACGAAGATTGAGGTATTTTCTGTGATGAAGAATTTAATTCGTATATAATGTATACATAGTGCGTGCATGTATGTGTGTATTCGTGTGTGCGTGGGTGTGTGTGTGTATAAATGCGTGCGAGTCTGCGCGTGTGCAATTTCTGCAAAGTTGACTATTTTTCATTGTCGTAGCTATAAGTGTGAATATTTAGATTTTGTGTGCATATGCGGCAGAGGTCTGAAGAAGGGTCAAACGTCGGTGAATAAAGCCGTCCACATATTATATCTATAACTAAAGATCCCTTACATGAGTAACGATCGATAAAATCGGTAAACAATTGAAATATCGAAGCAAACAATAAAACTAATCTTCCAACAGATTGTAAAAGCCTAGTTATAAACGATATGAAGAAACAATAAAAATCGAGGCAGAACTTTCAAGCATCGTGCCTTTTTCGTAACACACGACAATATTAAGGATGTTTAAATAACAATCGCAATAGCGAATGTACACAAAATATGAAATCCGTGTACTGCTCACGTACGCGAATCTAATTTGTAATAAATTATCACAAAATAAGCTTCACATTCAGTTATGTGGTATTCTATCACCTTTGTAAGTTTTTAATATATAGTTTGAAAAACATCTTTTCGAACAGTATTAAACCTTTCATTATAAATATAAAATAATTTATGTGTACAATAGCATTGTTACACCGGCAATGTCTTTGCAATTAACAGTTAAATAAAGACTTTCATGGGACCTCGAAACCGCATTGATGATGCCTGTTCAATCGAAAATTCCGATCGTTCTTTTGATTATTTGTATACTAAATGATAATAAATACGAAAAACATACATGCAATATAGACAATATAACATTTTCTTTCGAAAGTTCATGTTGAAGATTCAATTAAATATTTCAAAAAGCACTGTACTTATATGATATTATAATGTGAAGTTTCATTTTTTTCGCTTAAAAAATTTAAAGTTATAAAATTACTTGTATTTATCATTCTTAAACATTGTACTTGCAGGTCTCATTAAATTGTTATAAAGTTAAAAACAAAGAAAAAAACGGACTTAAGTGACAACAATATCAATTATAGGCATACGAAAAAGTTTATAGATAACCATACATCTATAAATCGAGTGTAAATTATTAAGTAGCACACACGATGTATAGTATAAAATGAAAACATTATATTGCATTCAAATAATTATGTACCAATGTAATTGACAATATCAGCGGTTCGCCAAAATATGATATGAAGTTGGAAATATTTACATATTCTATAATTACATAAACAATACCCTTTACTCTGTGAGTAATCATTGCCAACAAAAGCCTTTTTGTTGATATTTTCAAATTAGAAAATGATTGAAATAATGACTTGTACAGTAAATTAAGTAAGTACTCGTGTAGTATTATTATATTATTTTCAAAAATTACAACGATGTTGGTAAATTCATTTAAATATTTGCGTAATACATAAACTTGCCATCAACATTGATTCAAAATATCTTGAAAATATAATAATTATGTAATGAAAAACATCAAAAACGGCAAATCCTTACTATTTTGTTCTTGAAATCTAGCCTAATGTTCTTAGTAGTACAATGAAAATGAAACTTAAAAATGTATTTGTATTTTGTATTTTTATATAGTTTACTAGAATGAAAGTGAGTTAAAAATAAAGCCGATGAAAAATCTTTGTTGAAATACATATTCAAGAAATTATTCGAAATGACAAAAATATGTAATTAGTGTATAATTAAATTAATCATATCTTAAAAGTGCATATCTACTGGAAAAATTGTTTGAACTTGTTAAATTATTATTGAACAAATTACAGTTATTAATGGTAAACCATTTCTTTTGTTATTTCTGTTGAAGAATATAATGTTTTGAAGTTTAAAAAAAATTTAACTAATGTATTTTACATATCCTATACTAAATTTTACTAAAAAATCCTATTCTATTTTCTCATACGTATTTCTTGATACTTAAAAAATAGTCTAATAAATCGTCAAACTACCGAAAAAATATTGTAATTGACTGATTCGTCTTTGTTATATTACCCATAGAAAAATCAACTAATGACAATAAATGTATACCGAATCAAAATACGAGATTAACAGATATGATACTGACAAGTCAAATAAATTATGATCCAAGCGTTTTAATGGAAGGAATATGAGTCACAATTGGAAAAAGATAAGAGTTTTCAAAGGTTTATTTGACCGCATGTAAAACAATATATTATATAAATATATAAACGTACAGTTGATGGTCGTCTCCTCGACTTTGTATAGATTTTTTTTCTCGTAACTCGATTTATCGGTTAAACGATTATTTAGGTAATACTCTGCACTATGCACTTTTGCGAATTGAAGTTGCTATGTACGTTAAATAATAGTAATTGCAATGGAAAAATAAATGAGGTTGACGAAATTGCTGTTGTGTGTATCAACTGCAAGCGCTGAACAAGTTACTTCGCGAATCGATTGTGCATATACTTGTAATAAAAAATAACTTTTGCATGTACAGGCAAAGTAAATATTTGTTCATAGATTAAGTTGATTTAAAAATTGAACTCTTTTGTGCTGCAATTCACTCAAATCACTACTGAAAAGAGAGCTTGTAAATATATTATCTGTACGATTATTTTTTTTCTCTTTCTCACATAGCTTACAGAGTAAGTAAATGTCAAAATCGACAGCGAATTTAATGATTGCTCATATACTGAAACGAAGATAACGTATATATTTAATTATGGATGTTTTAAACAATCGTATGTGCTTTATATCTTATAATGGCTACTTGAGCCATTATCTAACATTTTTTTTGCCTTTCATAGTTACAAAGAAAATGTATTACTACTAAATGAAATACTAAATGAAAGACTTGAAACAATAAAAAAATAAATGACAACAATCGTTTCTGAGCGACTCAGTACTGTATACATTATAAATAAATGCATTATTATACGGTCGTTTCATTGTTACATTGACTGAGCCAAAAAAATTATTTTAGGTGACACGATGAACAAACATGTGTTTATCAGTAATTAGAAAACATAGCTCTTATATTACTTTTCCTTCAAGTCAAAGTTCCTCAAAGTATTTAGAAAATTTCGGTAAATTTCCATCGAAAAATTTACATAATATTTTTCTTATTATAAGTGCATCAATTTTGAGTAACAATTTTATAGATGTCGACGATTTCTGCAAGATACTCAAATCCAGAACTTTAAAAAAAGATAATAGGAACACATAAAACTTTTTATAAAATATCGAAATAATGTTGACACAATAAAAATACCACGTTTGTTTTGTCACAGTAAAAATTTTTTGACTCAACCAATTTGACAGAGAATCGGTCATATACATATTTATTAATAAATTAATATAAATATCGAACGTTTAAAGAATTTAAATTCATCAATCAGCAAATGGTGGTTCCAACCATACCATATGATAATAAATCGAAAAGATATTACGTATATACACGAATAAATATATAAATATGTATACATAATAAATAGATTTAAAATAATTTAAAAAAAAACGATAATAAAATGTAACGACAATAACAAGAAAAACTATTGTGTGAATGTAATGAGTGAGTGAGAATATTGATGTGCATCGTATACAACAATGTGTAAAAAAATGCCAGAAAAGGATTGACCATGTTCAGAAAAATAGA